TACCGCCTTCATTTCTTGTCCACTCTTTTGCCCATCTTTGCCTCGAAAGTCCTTTGCATCGAAAAGTGATCCCTGATTTGATCTTTTTTCTCGTATCATAGATTCGTTCCTTTTCGTTTAGCAAATCTTCTCTTTCCACTTATGTGTTATTTACGTTTGAAGTATTCTTGGTCTTCTTATTCTTCGTTCGACGAGAGCAGAGAAGGAACGTATACTATTATACCGTGTAAAGAGATTCCTAGCTTGTCCGTCATTCTCTGTCACCTGTGTAAAAAAAAAAACAAAAAAAAAAAGACAAAAAAACAAAAAAGAAAAAAGTAACGTTATAATATAAAGAGAGACGTATTATACACGTTGCGGAGATTTGTGTATATTTGTAGCAGAAAATTGTACAATTGATCACGATCACGACTTTTGCGATTATTATTACTATTTTTATTATTAATTAATTAATTAATTATTTTATTATAATTATCGCCAACGTGTACATAGAGAAAAGAATTGTCAATATGATCCGTCACGCGAGTGACAGCAAACGATTAATAATGATGCATTAAAACGAAATCTGTGTCTTGCATTTCACCCTTTTTTCCACTTTGCATCTGTTTTCACTGTATTTTGAAATACCTGAAAGAAACTACTCGACATTACTCGAAAGCCTGAACTTTACATAGCATGATATAAAAGATACAATAAATATCTTTGATTAACAAACGTCAATGCGGAATAATAATGCAACCCGTCGAGGAAACTGCACGCTAATATACCGTACATACGTGTACGTATATATATGTAAAAATAACAAGAAGAAGAACTGAACCACGTTCCAAGAGTTACGCAATGCATGCTGAATCCTTAAAGGACGATCGCGAGCTCGCTATTTCCGCGGAGGGCCCCACTTGACAAGGCAAGGCACGCACGCATCGCGACAAAGTAGCCGCGAACGTGGCCCTGCTTGTGGGAAGATGGCAAAGAAACAACCAGGATGGGAGAAAGCGAGAGCGAGGAGAACGAGCGAAAACGAGAAAGAAAGCTCCGGCTCGGTGGAGGAAGTCGCATCTTCTCGGAATGACATCAGATTGCTCTGATAAGGGGACAACGATTTTATGTAACCCCGATCGAGCACACCGTCTGTGTATAATATACACACACATACATATATATATATATATA